TCCAATACAGTAAAGGGAGGGAGCAAGCCCAGAGATATAATAAGAGATGATTTTACATATCCAGGTTTAACATACCATCCACGAGTTTGATCAAGCCCTTCAGCCACAAAATGACCAGGGAAGTTACTCTCAAAAAGCTCCTTGTTTTCAAAAGGATAATGGATGTACGCATAAGGCATTGACCCACTCTCAAACCAACAATCAAAAACCTGAAAAGGTAATATAAGCACAAGTGTGAGATAACACTACAGAACACCAAGGATTATAGATGAAATGAGAGAGCATGAGATCCATCTTACGTCTTCTACACGACGGAGCACACCAAACTCAGGCCCACGACTAGATGGGATTGTAATTTGATCAATATGGTGACGATGTAGATCAAAGACCTGCACCAGAAAGACAAAATGAGCGCAAGGAATATATATATATATTGACAAGTAGTTGCAGGAGAAAGATAGACAAACAACAAAAGAAGAGACCTTGACACCAGAGAGCTTTTCAAGCTTCTCGACAGAATCCATGACAACAACTTCCTCACCATCATCACTGATCCATATTGGTAGAGGCGTGCCCCAAAATCTACTTCGGCTAATGCACCAATCCCTTGCATTTTCAAGCCAATTGTGAAAGCGTTTATCCTGAGTTGCAGGTATTAGAATAACTTTATTAATGTCATTAACTAAAACTGCTAAACTTGTAATGTTAAAGAGTATTAATCCTTCTTCCACTGACCTTCACATGATCAGGTACCCAGTATGTCTGTTCATTGTTTTCTAACAACTGTTCCTTCAACTGGTCCTCCACCCGGACAAACCTGACAGTTCAAAGAACACAAGAATCAAACAACAAGCTTCATAGAATCAAACAACGATACAGATCTGATGTTCACTACTTACTGAAAAGAAATACAATATGAAAATGAAAACGTGGAAATCAAGATATCCCAAATAGTTTGGCGATTTGACTGCCAAAAAATACAGAATAGCAGAAAGAAAGAGACTGCCAGCAAGAAGCATACCAACAGGGAAGGGCTCTATATATGAGAGGAGTGTCTGATCGATAGCAAAACGGATATGAGTGAGTAAAGCTCCCAGTTTTGACAAGTCTGCCTTTGGTCTGAGATAACAAGAAATATTATTTAACAATCAGAAGCGGCTAATTCAATGGTCCAAATGCACATCAATACGCACCTTCACGGCTTCAATTATATCCTTGTCGGCATCTTTGACATACCGGCCAAAGAAATGGGTAATTCTCTCAGTAAAAAGCCCATCCTCATCAACAGCCACAACTAGATTTTCACCCTGAAAGAGAATACAAAAAGCATATAGAACGTTTAACATAAGGAGATAAAAGGATATCATTAGAGTGAGAGAGAAAATACGATGAAAGATCTCTTCCTAAACAAATAAATGATACAGTGTAATCCCTTAAACCCCAAAGAAAATCCTTAACAGTTACCCAACCAAAATCAAAGATCAAAGATCAACTACTTTTCTATAGTCATGCCCTGACGTTTAGGGATTGATAAGGAGAATGAAGTCAAAACCTAACCTGTTCAACGATCTTGTTCTCAAGACAAACACGGTAATCGTCTTCACCAAAGGCAGGAGCACAGTGGACGATGCCAGTACCACTGTCATCAGTGACATAATCATCTGCTACTACTCGAAAGGCCACACATGAGAAATCACTAAAGTAGTCAAACAAAGGTTCATACTTCTTCCCAACCAGGGAAGCTCCATCAAATTTCTCCAAAACTTGATAAGAATCAGCTGCACTATCACCACCTTTGGGTTTAGGATTTGATTTCTTGGTATCAGCGGGAAGGGCTGAGAGGCGAGATTCAGCAACCACGTAGACTCTCCCATTGTGCTTGTTACGAACCTTGAGATAAACAAAATTGGGATTGACACACAAAGCAAGATTGCTAGGAAGAGTCCATGGAGTAGTAGTCCAAGCCACAAAAGCAGCATTATCTTGATCGCCAATAACTGGGAACGTCACCATAATCTCAGGATCTGAAACGTCCTTGTAGTTCAAACCAGCTTCTGAATTAGATAATTGTGTCTTGAGACCAGTACTATAAGGCATAACCTGCACATAACGAAATTGAATCGGTTCACCAGATTTCAATCAAAGCACATAGCATATAAATAATAAAAGGGAGGAAAGCCAAACCTTGAAGCCTTTGTAGACAAGATTCTTATCAAAAAGCTGAGCAAAAACCCACCAAACACTTTCCATAAAAGGCAGATCCATCGTCTTATAGTCGTTCTTGAAATCAATCCAACGACCACTTCTAGTAATCACCTTCTCCCACTCCTCCACATACCGAGTCACAACACTCCTACACTCTTCGTTATACTTATCAATCCCCATCTGAAGCACTTGTGCTCTCCTCTCAATACCGAGCTTCTTTTCAATCAGTTGCTCAACCGGGAGGCCGTGACAGTCCCACCCGAAGCGACGCGTTACGTGGTGACCAGTCATGGTCTGGTAGCGAGTGACGATGTCCTTGATGGTGCCGGCGAGGATGTGGCCGTAGTGAGGAAGACCGGTGGCGAAAGGAGGCCCGTCGTAGAAAATGTATTCGGGGAGATGCTCTGTTCGTTTGAGCTGCGTCTTGAAGGCATCGATTTGATTCCAGAATGAGAGGACTTTCTCTTCCTCCCGAGGAAAAGAGAACTCCTTCCCTTCTCCCACTACTTCCATGGCGGCCGGCAGAGAAAACTCAGGAATCTGGACACCAAGCTTCTTCCACTTCTAGAGACCAAAGAGAACCAAATCTGAGCAGTAACAAAAAGGGTGAGAAAGAGAAACAATTTGGTGGGTTACTTCCTCCACTTTATGGAGCAAACAAGCAGAGCCGGCCTAGGGCTGGGCATTCGGGTATGCGGGTCGGGTTCGGGTAAAACCCAATCGGGTACGGGTCTTTTCGGGTAGAGGAGTTTAGGATCTAATAGGGTAAATCTAAAATATCGGTTCGGTTTCGGTTCGGGTCCAATCGGGTTCGGGTCGGTTCGGGTTTAGATTTTCAGAACCGCTAAATACCTGAAAAAATCGGGTACCCTTCGGGTTCGGGTATTTTATACCCGATTATACCCAAATACCCAAAAATTTACCCAAATACCCGAAAATTTTACCCTAATATCCAAATTTTACCCGAAATTTTACCCTAATATTCAAATAACCGGAATTTTATCCAAATATTCCAAAAATTTACAAGTATCTCGCATATAAATAAATTTAGTCTTAAATATTTAAATATAAGTATATTTAGTTTTTGGTCATTATTCTCGGATATTTGGATATAAATGTATTTAGCTTGAATATTAGATATATATAAAGTTTTTATATGTATAAGTATATATAATTTCGGGTAATCGGGTACCTGTTCGGGTATCGGGTTCGGATCGGGTTTTACCCTATACCCACGGGTACGCCGTTACAAGACCCAATAGGGTAAATAGCTAATACCCGTACCCGCCCCGAACCGGTTTTTTCGGGTCGGTTTCGGTTCGGGTACTCGGGTACGGTTTTTTTGCCTAGGCCTAAGCCGGCCCATGGCACAGCCCATTAAGCATTTGCTTGCGGCCTCTAATAATATATACAATTTTCGGCCTCATTTTTCCAAAGTATTTCTTTAGTGTAGTGGTTCCTGTCTTCTATCCCAAGTGGCCGAACCCCAGTTCGAGTCTTGGCTGTAGCTTTTAATTTTTTTCGAAACCTTAGAGCCGGCTCTGCAAACAAGTTGGTAATCAAAACTCGAACTGGAGAACAACATTTATACAATGTGCTAATACCATCCAACCGTAATGGCATCAGAGAATGATTACCGAGCTGAACTATTTCTAAAATATGACAATCCTAGCAAGTCACAGAAACAGCTAGATAAACTATATAATATACAAGTCGTAATTCAAAATAATTTTATCTTGCAATGAAAGAGATAAACCTAAGCATAATGATCATAACCAAACTCAAGAATGAGTATAAAGCTTAAAGCAACGAGATTGTAGAAACAGACCCCTAGCTAGATGGTTATTAAAGCTTAAAGAAACGAGATTGAAAAACAAATTTTGATCCTTTAGATTCTAGACCCGATCTTAAGCAAACCCATAAACCAACTTCCCTCCTGATTTAAAATTAACAAAATTCATAAACTCAACTCTAATCAGACACCTGCATTACGAATCCCAGAGAATCAAGGAGCTTTCTCCATGAGTGTCCCAAAATCAAAGCTAAGCTAACCCCTTTGGATGATTTTAAGATAGGGTAAGATATATTCATATCGAAAATCAAAGCTAATCCATCTGCTCAAAATCAAATCGAGAGAAATACAGGATTTGAAGGGTTTCAGCAACTAACATCAGAACATAAGCAGAAGAAGAAGAAACTTACCGGAGAAAGAAGAAGAAGACAACTACAAGCGATGGGAACTAGCGATGGTGAAGAACGATGGTTTCCTGACCCAACTTTACAAGAACGATGTGCTCTGTTTGATGATTTACGGTTCGGTGAAGAAGGTGAAGGTGAATTTAGGGTTTGGAGACATGAGTGCGCAAGAGAGTCGAAGAGATGAGAGAGCTCGAGAAAGGGCAAATTTTTTTGTAATTATTCAAATAAGAGAGGGGTATTTTCGACTTTTATGGCTCCGAATGGTGACAGCGGATCGGACGGTGCGGAACAAGCGGATTGAGTAGTGCGGTGCGGTTGAAAAAAACGCAGTATGCGGAACAAGTGCGGTTTGTTCGAAACAAGCGGTGCGGGATAAATTTCGAATGCTGAAAAAAACAACATGCGGTGCGGTTCAAATGTTTGAATGGTGAAAATGTAAAAGCGGTACAAAATATATATTTTCGATAAATGTTTTAAAAATAATAAATAAATTATAATAATTTTATAAATAAATAATTAGTATATTATAATAAATAGATTTTCTAAATATTGACCAAACATTTTTTCTATATTATTTAACAACAATAAACAAACAAAATTAAAATTTAGTTTGTTGGTAGAAACAAGTAAAAGATACATTAAAACAACAGAGTAAATTAATACAATACAAAATATTATCGAATACGTTGATTTTCCCATACCATATTAGCAATATTATCTCTTATTTGCGCCATATGCTCTCTATCTGCTATCTCTGATGCTTCCATATCATCGAAATCAGGCTCCCAATCTGTGTTGTGTATCTCTGTATCCATCATTACTTCTGCAAATCCGCATCTGAAAAATTTGAAATTTTAATAAAATTGTGTAATCCCATTGTAGCCATCACCACTCTCTTTTGCACATGAATACTATATCTCGGAAAATCAGTAAGAATCCTCCATTTCTTCTTCCAAACTCCGAAAGTTCTCTCGATAATAGAACGTAGTGAAGCATGACATCGATTAAACATCTCCATTTTATTCCTCGGAGGTGGACCGGAGTGGAAAGACGACATATGATATCTCACAACTGAATTTCTTGACGATCTGTAAGGAGCCAAAAACCCTTGTTTGTTTGGGTAGCCAGAATCAACGACGTAATACTTCTCTGATGGGGGTAAAGGAAACTCGGAATCACTTCGTTGCGCCATTGCGAGAACAGCTGTATCGTGACATGATCCCGGTGCTCCGTTCCAAATATACGTGAATAACATATTCAAATCACATATTGCCAAGATGTTCAAAGATGCATTATCGTGTCGATTCCAATACACTCCTTGTAACTCTGGCTTTACTTTTACACAAACATGAGTCCCATCCATAGCTCCAACGAATCCATTGAAATATGGCCAATATCTTCGATCTACTTGAAGTCTTTCAAGAATTCGATGTAACTCTTGAGTTGTTGGAGTTCTAATATAGTCACATGCAAGTAATTCTGTCGCGGTAAGAACTTCACCAAATTTTCTCTTCACAGTCTCCTGATTTCTTCCAAATCTCAAACCAACATCTCTTTGAACTTCATTGTGTCCACATATTCGTAGAAACATAGCCACACTTTCTTCAATACTTATATTTAATGTTGGTTGTAGACCGTAATTTGTATGTAGAGTAGCACATAATGTCGTGAAAGCCGCAAATGACATACGTAATAACTGAAGACAAGCGGCATCATCTTGTTGTAACTGATGCCAAATATTTCTCCATCCTAAACCTCCATCGGTTCGGGCTGGTGCTCTTTGAAAATAGCGATCATAGTAACTCAAAGCTGGTTGAATTATTAACTCTTCAAATTGTTCATTTTCCAAGTTCCACAATTCAATTCTCTCTTCATAACTTAAATTATGCATATTTTGTGAACGTAATTGGCAGAGACGAAAAGCCTGAAATTTAAAAACATGAGATAACAAATTATCATTAGCCATATAAAAGTTTATAATGAACAATTATAGAAAATACTTCAATATATTAATTTTAAAAAATCTTCCGATAAACAATTATACAAAATGCATAAGTAGGCTAATAAAAATCAAACAATATCTAAAAACATAAATCAGAATGAACCATCATATACTAATCTTCGTCTCCTGAATCACTTTGGTGATCTTCATTTGTATTTGCAGTTGATCCTTGCGAGGTTCCCCAAATATTGAACAGACCTCCTGGTCTAGGTGTTCTGGAAGTTGGTGTAGTTTCAAAATAATTTGTGAAACCAAGACCTGATGATGATTCATGTTGTACGTTTGGGGTAGTATCCATAGTTGCACCATGTGAAACTTCTTGTTGAGTATTCCTTGTACTTTCGTCTTGTCCTCCCACTGAAAATCCGTATTGAACATTTGTTGGAGTTGTTCCTAATGAACCGCCTTGTTGAAAATTTGGTGTATAACCCCACGGATGAAAGTGTGATGGCGGGCCCCAAGGTTGAAAGTTTGGTGGAAGACCCCAATGTGAAACATTTGGCGATGATCCCCATTCTGGAGCATTTGGTGGTGAATTCCATTGTGGAGCGTTTGGTGGTGTGCTCCATTGTGGATTGTTTGGTGGTGTTCCGTACTGTGGAGCGTTTGGTGGTATTCCATAATGTGGAGCGTTTGGTGGTGTTCCATAATGTGGAGCGTTTGGTGGTGTTCCCCATTGTGGAGCGTTCGGTGTTCCGCATTGAGGAGCGTTTGGTGGTGAGCTCCACTGTTGATAATTAGGATTTGTTGAATGTGAACCTCCATAAGAGTGGCCCGAGCCCAATCTTTTTGGCAAATCTTGATCGTTCCGAGAAACACTAGTCATAGCTTCTAACAGTTCTATCTTATCTTCGTCGGTGCCTCCAGCTATATCAATGAAATACCGCCGCCAAAATCTTAATTCTTTTAGTGTATCGATGCATGCCTAGTAGAATTTAGTTTTCTTTGGAAGTTGTAGCGCAAGAAATATTGCTTCCGCCTTTTTGAATTCGTCATAATCTTCTTGATCAAAATTTCCCGGCCGAAGTTGTTGTAAACTTTGTCGTTGGAACTCTCTATAGCCACTGATAGTATCTTGTATAGTTGTCTCAAAAGATTGTCGTCTACGATTTCCTCTTGAACCACTTCCAACATTTGTTCCCGAACTTCCACTAGACCGATGTGAACTATTCCCACGCCTGACAGTAGACTGCGAGTTTACTCTGTTTTGTTGCTCATTTCTTCTAGTAGGGACTCAGAATGTATTAGGCACAAACTCATTCGAAGGATGTGTATCATCATTAACGCTGACACGATACACTTCTTCATCTTCTTGGGTCTCGGGCACTAGAGACTGTAGTAAGAGCTGGTACAAGGTAAAACTTTGTTTCTTTCTCTTTCTTATATCATTAAACCTCTGAGATGATTTGTTTTTGATGAGTTTGATCTGTTTCTCTGTTTTTGGCGAGTTCAATTGGAGAACTTGCGACATATGAGGTTCATTACATGGAGTACAAAGTAACAGCTCATTGAATGTAATTCTTGTATGAACTTGTTTGTTTTAGTCTATGTGAAGATATTGAATCACTGAATGAGTAAATCTTGTTTAAATCATTGAATGAGTAAATCTTGTTTGTTTTAGATTAGCTGGAGATATTAAAATGCTTTAATTTGATTATCTACATCATACTTATTGTCTAGTTAGTGTTAATACTTTTTTTTTCATTGTCATAAGTTAATGCTTTCTTTTGTTTCATGTGTCAATAGTTAGTCTTATTTTTGTTTCTGTTATTAGATCAGTGTAATACTTGAACTGTCAGTTTTTAAAATGATTAAATTTGGTAAGTTTGTGTTTTTCCAAGTGTCTATTTGGTGATCTCTGCTCAAGTAGAATACCTAATCTATCGCACAAATAACATGATCCAATGCTAATAAAAGCATCTGTTGCACATTTTCTTTGTTTTTAAAGTTTAAGCTTGAAATGCTTTAATTTGATTTGATTGTCTATATTGTTGTCTTTGTGTTTACTCAATGTTTGGTAGTTGGAATAGATTTCTTTTTGTGTCATACTTAAAACACCTAACACTTATTGTCTAATTCATTTCTTCTCTTTTAATAAAAACCTAAATGCACTATCTCTCATTATGTTCTGTCACACTTAAACACACACCCCTACTATGTTTTAGTTATGCATTGCCTACTCAACAACAAATCTTTGTTATCAATGCCTATAGCCTCTGTGTTTTATTTGATTAGGTAAAGAATTTAGTGTCACACTTAACACATACCAAGAGTTTCTCTTGTTATATATGAACCTCTTCATCTCTAACTTAACACATAGATTTACACACACAAAAATCACTTCCTTTTTTTTTTCTATCCTGCCCCTTTTAACACCAACCAGAGAACTAGGCTATTGATTCATATCCATATAGTCATGGATCAGGCTTTGTGAACCTCTTAACTAGTCAACAAGAGGATCACAATCTGGAAGCCAATTTGTAAGCCAGTCTGTATGATGATGTTCCTATCTTTCCAACCCAAGCTGACTCTCCAAGCCAAGCTGCACACACACCTAAGGTGAAAAGAGGGAGAAGGAAATGGTCTCCCACATAAGACGTGGTGCTCATCAGTGCTTGGCTCAACACAAGTAAAGATGCATTAATAGGCAATGAACAAAACGGTAATGCCTTTTGGTCACATATTGCTGACTATTATGCTGCAAGTCCAAAGCTCAAAGGTGTAGAAAGGAGAGAGCCAGATCACATAAAGCAGAGGTGGGCTTAGATAAATCATGGTGTATGCAAGTTTGTAGGGAGCTATGAGGCTGCATTAAAACATCAATCAAGTGGCCAGAATGATAATGATGTGATGAAACTAGCTCACCAAATCTTCACCAACGACTATGATGCAAAGTTCACTCTTGAGCATGCTTGGAGAGAGCTTCGCCATGATCAAAAATAGTGTTTAGCTCCTTCTACTAAACCAACTAGACAGTCAAAAAGAAGAAAGACTCAGGAGTCAGTTGAGTCTTCAAGCTCCCAGCCACTGTCCCATGGAGTAGAGGAAGGAATGCCTCGTCCTATTAATGTTAAGGCTGCAAAGGCAAACGCAGAAAAGACTATAAGCAAGTTAAAGGCTGTGGAAGAAAAAGGCATTGGTGTCTCTAGGTTGCAGGGCATATGGGAGATAAAAAAAAGGATTTTGAGTTAAAAGAGAAACATAGCAAGCATATTATGCTTGAGAATCTACTTACAAAAACAGAGCTTAGTAATATAGAAATTGCCTTAAAAGACAAGCTCATAATTGACATGTTGTCAAATGCTTGAAGGATTTCTTTCATGTATCATAAGTTAGGCTTTCTTTTGTTTTCTTTTGTCATAAGTTTGTCTTTCTATTGCATTTCAATTTGTGTTTTCTGTCATAAGTTAAGTCTTTTGCTTTGTATGAACTTGTTTAATCAATGAATCAGTGTTTGTATGAATTTGTGTTTGTATGAATTGGTCTTTTTTTCATAAGTTAAGTCTCAGTTTTCTAACTAATGAATCAATGTTTGCATGAACTTATGTTAAATAATTTTGGCAAAACAGAATCAGTTGATTGGTTTGGTCTGTTGAATGAGTTTTGCTTGAAATAGATAAATGTCTCTGTTTTTATAAGTGTTCTCTGTTTTCATTTATTTGATCATTTCTACTGTTTTTGATGAGGTTTATTGGAGAATTTGCAATGAACAAAAGGATGAGCTTACTGTAGATAGAGTTGAAGTGCTAGAGAAACTAGTGGAGTTGCAGAGAAATGTGATAACATGAAACTTTTGGAAGAGAAATGTTTGTAACTTGTATTGTAAGCAACAATTTAATTTTTTTTTCTTTAAGAACTCTTTGCATTTTAACTTTTCTAACTTTTCTTAACCTACAAATAGTGAAATTTTAATTTAAAATAAATTTAAGATCCAAGGTTAAGATCCAATTGGATCATAACCATTGGAGATGGTCTTATGTGTCGTAATCAATTTCCGTCACGAAAAGATGTCAAGTACAAAACATGATAACTAATTTATCCATTCGGATAATGTTGTAAATAAACTAAAAAAAAATATTTGATAAAATATCTTAAAAAAATAAAGAATTTCATCAATTTTTTATTTAATAGTTAAAAAACAAGTTTTACCATGTAAACTAATAAATATATTTTACTTACCAAAAAAAAAATATTTAAAAATATTGATTTGTTATAATAATTTTATAAACAACAACAATATAAATTCTCAACTTAAAAAAAACTTAAAAAGTTATATATGTGTAACAAAAATGATATGACTAAGATATTTCTCAACTTTTTTGTCATTTTTTGGCTAATTGATGTGACCAAAAATAAATTCCTCAACAATTTCTCAAACTCATGTCACCAGTCTTGATTATCATATACATATTCTCTTGCCTAAGTTTAGAAAATTGGAAAAATAAGTTTCTTTATCTGGTATTCCATTTTTCACTTAGTATAGGAATATCAAGATATCATATGTTATATTTAAAATAAAATCCAACTTACATTTAGTAATAATAAATATCTAGATATTATATGATTTATTATTATTAAATGATTTATATCTAGATATTATGATAAATTAAAGAAATTGAGATGTTGTATAAAATAAGATGTCTTGTAAGATTACCCTATAAATACCTTGTTTTCCTCTTTTACAATATAATGAACAACAAAAAGAAAAACTTAGGTTAATCTCAAGAGAAATCTTATTGACGAAAACAGAAAACGCACAAATCTTCTTGTGGTAATTGGGTTAGTATTCTGCAGTAGCAATTTCTCAACATCTTTTGTATATATAAATTTCATGAAAATCAAAGAGTTTGTAATTACTTACAAAATCCTGTTTTCCCGGGCTCATGCCGGATTTGATACACTTTGGCCTGTGCTAGGCCTGGGCGTTTGGATATTCGGTTCGGGTCGGGTTTTTCGGGTTCGGATTTTTCGGGTTTAGAAAACTAAGACCCGTTCGGATATTTTAAAACTTCGGGTTCGGATAGGATTCGGATCGGATATTTCGGGTTCGGATTCGGGTTTATCCGAAGTATCCAAATATTAAAAAAAATTGTATCCGATTCTATGCAAAGTAATGAAAATACCCAAAAAATCTATAAATTATAAGTATTTTATACCCGAATCTAACCAAAAGTAGCTAAAACACCCGAAAATATCTTAGCATCCGAATAATTTAGATACTTAGGCTATTACAAATATAAATATTACTAATATATTATAACTATGTATTTATATTTCGGATATGTTCGGGTACTTGTTCGGGTTCGGGTTCGGGTCGGGTTCGAGTTCTGTTTTCGGGTTGTGAAGTTTAGAACCCGTTCGGGTATTTTAAAACTTTGCGTTCGGGTTCGGATCGGGTTTTTCAGGTCGGGTTCGATCCAGTTTTTCGGGTTCGGGTATTATGCCCATGCCTAGCCTGTGCCACCAGTTTGTGGAGAATCATTGGGGCAGTTTTCAACATCTTTCTTAGTTAGTTCATGTTTATATGAAATCAAAATTTTTGACTGGTAAAAAAGGTGAACTCCTATAACTAATCCAAGAAGTTGTAGAAGAAGAAATGTTAATACAATTTACCTGAGAAAATAAAATAAAATGAGAAGGACGATTTTTTTTTTATTCTTATAGGATTCTATCAAAGTGAATAATGATGGAGAAATTTCCTTGAATGCTAGGTCACTTTTTTTTTTTTTTTCATCATGTTCATGTAGTTCCTAAAGAAATGTATTTTTACTTTTATCTTAGGCGATAAAGAAAGAAACTTGTTCACTTTCAGGGAAATGCTTTCCGTGACTTCCAAATCACGAGAAGTAGAAAATTATCAAGGAACCGAAGGGAACAATTGTGAAGACAAAATCAGCGCATTACATGAAGATTTGCTTATACATATATTGTTGTTTCTCCCGACCAAAGATGTTGTGAACACCATGTTTTTGTCGAAAAGGTGGAGGTCTATCTGGAAAATGGTGCCAAGACTCGAGTACAAAGAAAGCAAAGACAGTGACCATGAAAGTGTTTGGTGGTTTCTTGAAAAGTCTTTGCAACAACACAAGGCACCTATACTAGAAAGCTTGTCTATCAAACTCGATCAACGATGTCCTATTGATGCTGATGTTAAGAAGTGGATTGCAAACGCAGTTGATCGCCGAGTGCGCATGTTAAATCTCATACTCATGTGGTCTGCAGCACCTATTGACTTGCCCGCAAGTCTTTACACGTGTGAAACGCTAGTAGAATTAAATTTATGCAGAGAAATTCTTCTAGATGTTCCTTCCTCGGTTTGCCTCACATCACTCAAAAAGCTTTACCTTAGTGGACTAATGTATAAAGACGAAGTTTCCGCTGTAAGGCTTCTATCAAGTTGCCCTGTTCTCGAACAATTGTCCGTATCTCGATCTAGGAATGATAATGTGACAAATTTTATTGTGGAAGTGCCTTCTCTAAAGAACTTACTTTACTCTAAGGAACGATCAGATATAGGAGATACTGGTGGATCCTTAGTCATAGATTGTCCAGCGTTAAAGGACCTATTTATCTTGGATTCTTCGGGGGGCTCTTGCTCTTCCCGAAATATGCCTTGTCTTGATAGGGTACTTATCAGTACAGTTTGGTATCCTGATGAAAAGTTTCTGATACCTTTTTCCTCAATCACGTGTCTAAAGTTGTGTATGACTCATGCAATGGTAGATGTTTCTGCACCCCGTACTTTCGTTTTTTATTTTGTGATCACATTGGCTCATCTACTTATGTTGATGTACACGTCGCAGGTTGACTGTTGCAGCGCTGTTTACTTCCCTCGGCTTACAGTTCTTAACATTATATGGCCATTGGACACAGATTGGATGGAACCACTTCTACTTTTGCTCAAAAATTCTCCTATACTAAAAAATATTTTGATCACCAATGTTTGTACTCTCCTCCCTCTCTTAAATTAACAAATGCGTGTAGTTTTGTTGGAGTATCACTAACAAAGTATAAATCTTTTGTTGTTTCTCAGCTAAGTTCCTTCCCACCAGAAAACATCCCCCTTTCATGGAACCAACCAAATTCCGTTCCGAAATGTGTGTCATCCAATCTCGAGGAATTTAAATAGCTTGCATATAGAGGAAGAACGGAAGAGAAAGAATTCGCCACATACATCCTTGGAAACTCTAAGTGTCTAAAATATGCGGAATTCCTTATATCATGCAACAATCTTGAAAAGAAAACGAAGATACGCGAAGACTTGAATTCTATGTCTAGAGTTTCAACTTCAAAACTAAAAGTACTTCGTGATTAGTTAAAAAAATAAAATACAAATTTGATCGATGTTTGTTTAAAATATGAATGTAAGTGGAATTTATAACTTTACCATTGTATAATTATTATTTTTAACAATAACAATTTATATATATAAACTGAATTATATGTCTAATGTTATTAACATTTTTGAAGTACATTTTAAGAAATCCAATCAGGTCGGATTATTTTAATTTTTGACCTAAGTATAATTTTAATCAGATCTTTGCTAAGAGTTACCAAAAACGAACTAAATCGTTAATGGAAAAAAATTAATTAAAAAATTAATAACAAATAATTAATTATAGTAACAAACTTAAAGGATATTCATTAAACCAAATATTGTGTTTTTAAATATTTGGAAAACTGTTTAATAATTACAAATTTTTATATAGTTATTTTTTGTTAATAAATTTTAACATACTAGATAGTAACCCACGGTATACCGCGGGGTTGGTGTTTTTTCATATTTATTGTTAAAAAGTTTTTAAAATTTTGAGTTTGTGTTAGTGTAAGCGGTAATTATAGGTATACTAGATTTATTCTATATTTTAATAGGGTTCCATTGTGACTTTGTCATTAATTTGAATACTCTATAGGGGTGTATTGGAATAGATATTTTAAAAGATATGATGAAATTTGGGTTTTGGAGATAGGAGTGATTTAAGCGGAGTTTTTAGGATATTGGGTTCATTTGTAAGGTTTTTAATTAAAAATAAAATAAAGGATTGGTGATTTGGTGAGATTTATTATGAAATTCCATATGATATAAGAGGTTTTTGTTTGAGGTTTTTCCTTCTCATTCTTTGAGAATAATCATTAGGAGCCTTTCCACCTCCAATTTTTCTCCACCACGATTTGTCTTATTCTCTAATGATATAAAAAGAAAAGAGGGATCTTCAGGGTAAAACATTTATTTATGATACACATTTGATCACTCTTGACTGTTGATAAAATGATGACTTTACCAACAGAGTCACTCTTTCTTGATCACATAAGTATACATATTCTTCACTACAAAAATCTCATCGTGATATACAAAAAATCAAGTTTTTCTTCTTGAATGAGATTTAAAAATTATGTTTTAGTCACTTTTTCATTTCCTGACAACGGTCTCCTTAGCAGTGAAACCTTCCTACTTCCACATAGAGACATTCAGGGCTTGATTGGTTCTCCCGCTAGGACCCGTCTAGCGGTTGCTAGCGGTCGGTTGCGGTTGTTAGCGGTTGGTACCAATCATAGAAATCGCTCATACCGTTTCGAACCGCTCCAAATCGCTGAATTTCAAAAGCTCCTTTTCGCAAGCGTTTGCGGTTGCGGACGGTAGCGGTTGGATTAAAAAAAAACGTTTACTTATAATTATTAGAATATATATTAATCCTATACTTATAATCTTGTATTAAAATTTCTTTATTTTTGAATAATTATTTAGTACTTTATTTATGGTTTTAGTTATTAAGCATGTTCAATTTTTTTAATATTATCATAATAATATATTGGTGTTTTTATTTTTATTTTTTAGTAATATTTCTTATCTATTTTAGTCATTTTTTTATTTAACTGCTACCGCACCTGCTGGTTTACCAGTCATAAAACTCCCGCAAACGCATCCATTTTCAAACGCTAAACCAGTCGTTCAAAACGCTTAGTAACGCTTGAAACTGCAAGTGCCCGCTTTCGCAAACTCCCGCAACCGCTGCGTTTAAACCAGTCAGACCCTCACATGTATATCAATAAAACACATTTCAAAGTCTAATTCTACAACGCTAATCATAACCGCCAAACACATTGCATATTAGCGGCTATTACTATTAGATAATTAAGATTCTGTCCTATGAGAAAGATAAAATATAGTCAAATGACATCAAAATGACTTAATGAAGAATCGAAAAATCATATACATTAAAATGACAAACTATAATTAAAAAAAAAAAAAAGATAATGACGAATGGCCTTTTTACTCTCTTTGAGAATTCACTATAAGAATCTAAGAATCTTTGTGAAATTGTTTAAAATGCCCCTTTTGGTGTGCCCCTTTTCAAAAATACCCTTTTTAGATGTCTATTTTTAAAAATGCCCCTTTTTAAATCTGAAATTTTTATAAAGTTTTATTAGGTTTATAAGGTATTTATGGATTGTAACTACTACTTGAAGACTCGATCCAAGTATTTATAAGGTTTTATAAGGTGTTTTAAAGGTTTTACAAGTTATTTTAAAGGATTTTTAAGGTTTTTCAAAGGTTTTACAACATATTTTAAAAGTTTTTAAAGGTATTTAAAATGCATTTATAAGGTATTTGTAAAGTATTTATAAGATTTTAGATACATAGAAATGTAGTTTGTGTATGTTTTAATAATGTTACATACATATTTAGGTAAATATTATATTTTTAAGAACATTTTTTATAAGATTTTAAAGAAAAGACATTTTTGAAAAGTGGCATTGAAAAAGGGGCATTTTTTGCAAAAACCCCTTATTTTTTCTTCATTGCTCGATCACCATCTCCAAGATAACCTTGATTAAGAAGCTTTAAACATGTTATCAAATAAATGAATCCAACCAAAAAATACAAAAAAAAAAAAAAAAAAAAAAAAAAAAAAACATTATCGAAGTGCATGGTTACGTAGCTATGCTAAAGATTTCTTCTTCAATTGGCAGCATATTCATATTTATCCTAATTAAACCAAAATCACTATAAGTATATTAAACTATGAGAAAATCATACCAGGCTAATGCTTTTGACTGCGATTTTCTCATATATATATATATGGCTATGAGTGCTTCTTGAATTGGCTATTAACAAAACAAATAAACTAGAAACGTTTATTTGATATATATATTTTTTTTTTGACAGCGATATATTTAAAAACCTATAAACCTATAAACAAAACATTAAGATTTGCATCAAAAGAAAACATTAACATGCGGACGTTATTTGAGAACTGAGATGATACTGCATTATGTCGATCGAGAATGCCTCTTTATATAGTGATGGATGAGATATCGATGTGTACTCAATAAATTTTAGATTTGACCAAATCTTCCAATAAATTCTCTATTTTCTTGCCAATTAATATATGAGTTTAGGAAATTTGGAGACAAATTTCTTTTTGATTGGTCCAGACATCAAACCGTTAAAAGCACATTCTTGGTAAGTGCATTGTCCACCTAAGATACGTCATTTCTTATGGCAAATTTTAACGGGTTGTGTACCAGTTACAGAAAATTTACGGAGAAGAGAAATTGATTGTGATACAGGTTGTGCTAGATGTGGCGAACCAGTGGAAACAATTAATCATACACTCTTTCAGTGCCACCCGGCACGACAGGTTTGGGCACTCTCTCAGATTCCTACAGCAATGAGAATTTTTCCAACAGAGTCTATTTTTGCGAATTTGGACCATTTATTTTAGAGAATACCTTCGGAATTTGACTCTTCAGGCTTTCCATGGATTATCTGGTATATATGGAAAGAAAAGAATAAAAAAATATTTAAAAATATTGATAAAGATCCGTTGGAGGTATTACGGTTAGCGGAAAAAAAAGCACAATTTTGGCAGTCTGCCCAAATTGAGCTTCATCATGACACTCATGGTACTGTGGAATTGGTTAATAGGTCTCGATTGGGGAATACTTCACTTGACTCGAATTACTCAGGATACCGTTGCTTTGTGGATGGATCGTGGAAAGAAAGTGATAAGTTCTCCGGTACAGGATGGTTCTGTACATCATCAAACGGAGAGCCGCCAACCATGGGAGCTGCAAATCTCCGTCGAAGTTTATCTCCATTACATGCCGAGTTCGAGGCCCTTCTTTGGGCGATGAAGTGTATGATAGGTGCAGATAATCAAGAGGTAGAGTTCCTTACAGACTGTTCTGATCTGGTTAAGATGGTGTCTTCTCCAACCGAATGGCCGGCATTTTCAGTGTACTTGGAGGAATTTCAGAGCGATAAGGAAGAATTCTTATCCTTCTCTTTATCTTTAATTTCTCGCAATGCTAATGCAAAAGCGGATCATCTGGCACGAAAAATTTGTACAAAACCTCTAATTAATTTTGGATGACAAAAAAAATAATAATATATGAGTTTAGGGAACTAATATATCCGAAAATTAATTGAGATTCTATATTTTTTGGTTGATTTGAAAATCCGTTTGAATTATTTTAAAATTCATATAAGTAAGATTCTGTTTTTTACAATGGAAGATACCATTTTGTAGTCTAAATCTAATTATGTGATTCTTTTATATTGGATATCAATTTATTGTTTAAATATGTTACTAAAATCCATTTTGTCATAAATAAAAATTATCATTATCCAAACTTTTCATAAAACCACATATATTCAATTATTTTTAGAATATTTAATTAGTATTTTTATTTAATATTAATTTTTATTCAAGGATTTATTTTCTTAATTTAAGATGCAAATCTTGACGAAATCTTAAAATTAAATTATAATTAAATTAAAATGATGATTTGTAATTACTTAAA